GCTATAGGTACTCGAGCTCCAGCGCGTGCCTGAGCGCCTCCAGGTCGGCGTGGCAGGAAATCCGCCAGAAGGGCATGTTGTGCTGCGGACAGAGCGCAGGTTAGTGCGGCTGCCCGCGCAGGAGGGCCCTGAGCTGGCCTCGGCCCCCCCCCCCCCCCTGGGCCGGGCCTTGCTGGCGCCCCAGATCCCACTGCACCCTCGGAAGCACAGGCGAATCCGCTCCCACTCGGTCGGCGCCTGTGCTGCCCGTTGGGCACCCACCAACCCTCCCTTCTGCCCTCGGGTGCAGGCCATAGGGCCACAGGGCCACAGGGCCACAGGGCCACGTCACACAGCGAGGGAGCGGTTCCTGTCCAGACTCTGCTCTCCCTACATCGTGAGGCCCCTCCAGGCTCTCCCTGGAGTTGGATCCCCACCGTGAGGCCTTGCGGGGCTGGAGACCTTCAGGAGGTGACCAGGTTGTGACAGCGGTGGCTGCCCTTTCACAGAGGGATGACTGGTCCCCAAGAGGCTGTTAGGAAGCCAGCCTGCTGTCCTGTCTGGTGTGGGCCCCCATGGCCTGGGGACTGGCAGAGCCCCCCCCAGCAGGCCCCCAGCCCCCAGGACCACTGGCAGGACCTGCGCTGCAGAACTCACCCGCTGTGGGTCGGGTCCCCAGTCCTGCTCCCCCAGGGAGTGGGGCTCGCTGGGGCGAGGCTGGCTCCACTGGAAGGAGCACAGCTGCCCTGAACTCCCCCTTCCTTCCTTCCTTCCTTCCTTCCTTCCTTCCTTCCTCCTTCCCTCCCTCCTTCCCTCCCTCCTTTCTTCCTGCCCCTGCCTCATCATTGGGGATGAACCCAGGGGTGCCCACACCGAGCTGCACTCCCGGTCCTTTTTATTTTAAGACAGGGCCTCCCTAAGTTGCTGCATCTGGCCTCGAACTTGCGATCCTCCTGCCCCAGCCTCTGGAGCTGCTGGGTGACAGGTGTGCCCACTGCGCCCGGCTCTGCCTTTCCTTTCAAGCGTCTGTTTCTATCTCCTGTCTTTATAGCAGGTGATGCCGGCTCTGTGTTGTCATGATAGCAAGTTTTTGATTTTAAACCATCATGAGCTGAAAGAGCACAATAAATAACATAGACAGCCAGGGGCAGAACACGGGCAGGGAGGGGTGTGTGGGCGCATTGACTGTGGCAAGACATCCCTAATGAGGAAGGGTCACCAAACTCCACAGGGTGACTGACGGCCAGGGGCAGCAGGGCTACCCAACCTGGTGACCTTAGGGTATTTACTGCCTCTCTTTAAAATGGGGACGATACCCGCTGTGTACAATTGCTGCAGCAGTATATGGCACATACTAAATGCTCACTGAATACTAGCTGCTGCTGTGACTGTGTCTGCACACATGAGGACAGATCTGGAGAAACAGGAGGAGGTCGGGAAGGTGCAGGGCAAATCATGGACCTAGTGTGTGCACGAGGGGATGGATCTCGTGACTCCTCAGTCATCCAACAAACAACTTAGTCAACCTCTCTGAGCCTCAAATCCACCCTCTATGAAATGGGATGTGATGATACCTACTTTGCAGGTTTTTTGAGGATTAAATAAAATGATGATGTCAGTAATAAGGAGTAGCGGTCAGGTCATGAGTTAGGTGGGCCTCCCAGGTGTCTGTCACAGCGCTGCCTCACACTCCCATCCTCCCTCCTCTTCTTTCCAGGGCCTCCCATTTTCAGCCGGGCACCTCGGGGCTGACCAAAGTTCCATCTCCCAGCTCCCCTGTACCAGGGAAGAGCTGCACCCACCAGGCCTGGGCGTGGCCACGAGGGGCCTGGGCGTGGCCACGAGGGGCCTGGGCGTGGCCACGAGGGGCCTGGGCGTGGCCACGAGGGGCCTGGGCGTGGCCACGAGGGGCCTGGGCGTTCGGCGCTGTCCGGCACCTGCCGCTCCTCAAAGCACATGCTGATGGGAACCTGGGTGGGACGGCCCTGTGGACCCCCCTGGTCTGGCCTCTGCTGGAGGTCACCCGGACCCACCCTCAGCCCTGCTCAGTTTGTGGGAATCAACACCAGCTCGCCAGAGGGGGGACCTGGGACTTCCAAAGGCCCCTGCCCACCCCCACAGCAGTCAGAGCAGAGCCACTGCAGCCTCTACCTGTGTGTGCTCAGAGGCCCGGCGACGTGGCACCTTCCATTAGCCAGAGATCCACAGACCAGGAAAGGCRGCTCAGAGAGGGGGCGCCCTGCCCAAGGCCACACAGCCAAAAACGCAGGATGGAAGACTTCAGGCCAAATGTGCTCCCTGATCTGATGTGCCGGTGGGGGAGGCCCCTCCAGTCCCCGGGCGGGAGGTCGGCGTGGGGCAGCCTCAGAGGAGAAAGCACCTGTCCCTGGGGGGCCTCTGGGGAGTTGCTAGGACATGGGTTTTGACTGGATGTTCTGGGGCCGGAGTTCTGATCACCCCGCTGCTTCCTGCCTAATGGATGGACTGTCCTGCTGCCGCCCAGGAAAGCCTGAGCTCGGCCTAACCCTCTGCCTGGACCTGGCTGTCCTGTGTCTCATAGGAACACAGCACCTGTCGCATGCTTTTAATGCACTCTGACATTTTTTGTTTCTTCAGGGCTGAGGACTGAGGCTGGGGCCTCCCAGGGAGGCGCTGGGCCACCAAGCTACACCCCCAGCCCCGGAGTGAGGTTTTCAGGGGTGCAGCTGCGGGGCACTGAAGGAGGCCTGGCTGTTTTACCCAAGCCGTGCCCTGGGCTGCTCAGCGGCTGGAGACACTGCGGCGGAGGTGGCGCCTGGCATGTGACTGGGCGGGAGCTGGTTTTGTGCCCCAACACTGACCTCTGGAGGCCGGCGACTCTGAGCTCTGCGGCTCTCTGTGGGCCTCTCCCTGCAGGTGCTTCTGCAGCCTGAGCTCTGGAGGACGGGACCCTAAGGAGGCTGTGTGTCCCCTTCAGATAGCAAAGGGGCATCTGAGGACATGTGTCACTGCTCCCCCGAGCCTCTCTGGCCATGGCCGCTGTCCCAGATCCCTCTGTCATTCTCCAGGTGAGAAACAGGCAGGGACGTGAGCCCTGGGTCACAGGCCTGGGCTGGTCCCCCGACCTGACTTTGACAGAGGCAAAGTGACTTTGAATCCGCCCCCTCCCCCCAGCAGAGCGCCCTCAGATCTGCATTTGGAGGAGCAGAGCTGGCCCCGAAGGCCTCCCCATGCGGGCAGCGGGCTCCAGGCTCAGTACCTCATGCATAGAACATCTGGAATGCATGTGGCAGGTCACTAGATGTGCTTCCCCAGGTTTGGCCGTGTCCTTGTGTGTCACCTGACTACCATTATTTACTTAAGGTCCTTCCCCTCTAGATCAATTTATTTTAAAAGAAATATGCCTTTAAGAAGAAGTATACAAGCCAGACACGGGGGTGCACACCTGTAATCACACCAGCTCTGGAGGCTGAGGCAAGAGGATGGTGGGTTCAAAGCCAGCCTCAGCAACTCAGTGAGGGGCTAGATAACTCAGCGAGCCCCTGTCTCTAAATAAAAAATTAAAAAGGCGGGGGATGTGGCTCAGGTGGTTAAGTGCCCCTGGGTTCAAGCCCTGGTGAAAAGAAAGTATTCAGAGTAAGAGCGGAAGTCCTTTCAGTGACCCCAGGCACCTCCCTGATCCCACCTGCACTGCACCCCTCTCTCCCCACCCTCTGCTGAGGCCGGGCTGGCTCAGACCTTGAACAGGGCTCCTCTTGGGATGCTCTCCCTCCGGAATGCGCGTGGCTCACCGGCTCTCCTGCCATCTTTGCTCAGATACCACCCCTCACGGAGGCCTGCCTAGATTACCACCTATGCTGTAACCTGTCCCCACCTCTGTTCACTCTCTGCCTAATTCTCCCAAGCTCTTGTCACCCCATGGTGCGCAAATCCCACTTCTCTGTCCCAGCTATGAGCACGCAAGGGGTGGCAGGGCCTGGTCTGCTCTGCTCACTGCAGGGTCCCCAGCGCCTTCCGCAGGGGCAGGGGCTGGCACACAGTAGGTGCTCAGCTAGGGAGAGTGTACGCAAGCTGGAGGGGCTGGGACTCAGCAGCCGGTCATGAAGGTCGCTGTTTGATGACAAGAGGGGAGAGTGCCCTGCAAGGAGAACATGGGCAGCGGGGAGGGCGCACAGGCCCCCCACGGGCTGAAAGGCAGGGGYGGGACTGGCCGGGGAGTGCTTTCCACTGGAAGTGCGTCCGTGAGTCTGTCCTCACCGGAAAGGGGAGGAGCCTTCCAGGTGGGGAACAGCCTGTGCGCCGCCCTCCAGGCCCCTCCCCCTCCCTCGTCCCCGGGGACCTTCCCTTTGCTTCTGAGTCCCTCCGCTGAGACCCTGAACATTTCTGCATTTCCTCGGGATTTGCTGCCAGGGACGGAAGGGGGAAGCCAGTTCCCCCCAATTAAGCTCCGTGACATTAACAATCTGCTTCCCAGGCCTCGGGTGGGGGGCGGCAGGCTCTCTGGGGCGCCGTTGACAGGTCCAGACCCGGGACTTTGGCAGCTGTTTCTTTTCCAAGAACAGAGTGGCGGCCACCAGAACCCCCTGCCCTCTCCCCACGCCCGAGATCACAGATGCGGGATTTTCTTTTTCATTAGCTTAATGCTGTCTTTATTAACTGGGAAGCGTTCCTGGAGCACGGGTCGGCGAGCATTCAATAAAACGCACACACGTGCGTGCGCCCCCGGCCGGCCCCCGCCCAGTGCCTCTGGGATCCCCGCGCGGCGCGCAGAAACAGTCCAGGGCTACCAGGGGCGCAGCCAGAGGCACAGGGGGGATTTGCAGAAGGAAATTACTCAGGATGCTTCTGCGATTTGCAAATGGGAATGGACTGGCCAGCGACGGCCGGCCGGGAGGAGCGGGCGGCCCGCGGGAGGCGGAGGGAGCGCGCGCCCGGAGCGGGAGGAAGCGAGCCGGGCAGGGCGCGGCGGGTGGCGGTACCTTTTTGGCTCCTTGCTCCTCTTCCACACGGTCTCCTATCACGATGTAGATGGCTTTCCTGCAGAACCTCTGCATTATCCGCTAGAAGCAGCTCTCCTTCCCTGCACACGCGGAGGGAGGGAGGAAGAGACCGCGGTTCCGTGAGGACCCGGGAGTGGCCAGCAGCCCGCGCCTGAGGCCGTCCTTCACCCAGACACCCGGCGCTGGGACCATCCCCACCCGACGGATGGCAACGCAGCCCCTCGGAGGCGAGCACGTGCTCAAGCCCGGGCGACAGCAGGAAGAAGCCTCGCGGGGCAGCCCGAGGCCGCGGTGCGCTTCCCGCCCCCGCAGTGCCCCCTGCTGCACCGGGTCCGCGGCTGGGGCGGGGCCCAGAGCACCTGCCCCGCCAGCGAGGCCCTGGGTGACCCCAGCCGCGCAAAAAACCAAAGCAAAACCAAACCCCGAAACCCACGGATAAACAAACAACATTTTATATTGTTAAATTGTCACAATTAAATTTTTAAAAATATCATAAAAGTAAGAGGTACCAAGGCCACCTGCCTAGAGGAGCCAGGAAGAAAATGAGAAGGCCCCAAGGTTTTGTTTGCAATGTTAGTCTGACAACCGTTTTGGCCTGAATCGCGGTTATTTTAAACTCTAAAGGCTCCTTTAAGTCATGGTCAGACTTAGAAAATCACCACAGCAAAAAGCCAAGAGCCGCTCGAAGACACTCTGCTTCCCAAGAAGTAGAAATCCATGTTTTTTTTCTTCTCCAGAAAAAAAAAAGGTAAAAATTTCTGATCAAAAACACGCCCACTAACTAGCTTTGTTTTGTATTCATATACATTTCCAGGCAGAGCGGAGCTCACCTGTAACCCCAGCGGCTTGGGAGGCAGGAGGATCACCAGTTCCAAGCCAGTTCAGCAAAAAGCAAGGCGCTAAGCAACTCAGGGAGACCCTGTCTCTAAATAAAATACAAAATAGGGCTGGGGAGGTGGCTCAGTGGCCCAGTGTTCCTGAGCTCAATTCCTGGTTACCCCCACCCCCCAAAAATCAGCTCCCCACACACAAAAAAGAAAATCAACATTCCGTGTCGTAAAGAGAAGGTAAGAGGTGCAGATCGTGCTCATGCTGTCACGCAGGAGGAGAGCCCTCAGTTCCATTCAGTGCTATTAGTTCCCTGTTATCCAATTCTAGTTGTCCACCTGGTGAAAGGGCTGTGGGGGTCATGGACAGGTCAGTAAACCTCCCCGTGACCTTTCCCTGGCTGCCCTGTTCCCAGGACAGGGAGCCAGCCCCTCCCACCCCCGGCCAGCGCCCCCTCCGGCTTCCGCGAAGGCTGTCTGCGCCCTACCTGTCTTGGTGGCACTGTAGATGTTCTCGATGGGAAACACGGAGCCCAGTCCGTACAGCAGCACTTTGGCCAGGGCAGGGATCAGTTGGGTGGTGGTGACCAGCACGTTGACACAGTTGGGCCTGAGGAAGAGGGAGGAAACTGGGGATTAGAACTCAGAGGTACCCAGGCCAGGCCTCCCCACCCTGCAGCAGGAGCCTGGAGTCGGAGATGACTCTGGGGCCATGGTCAGGTKCGGGTGGAGCCCAGGGATCCCCTGGCTCTTCCTGTCTTCAGGCCTCCAGCTGGTTGACATTAACATGCAACATGGGTGTAATACTTTGCTTATTTTTAAAAACACTTTTAGTTGCAGATGGACACAATACCTTTATGTATTTACTTTTATGTGGTGCTGAGGATGGAATCCAGGGCCTCCCACATGCTAGGCAAGCGCTCTACCACTGAGCCACAACCTTGCTTATTTAATAGCAAACGTTTATTGCAAGATCCATGTATTTGTTTAATTAGCTGCAAGTGTCTAGGTGACATAATTGGGTCACAGGGACTGAATGTAGGACCATAGGGAGGGTGGGGGCAGGGGCAAACTGGAGACCAAGTGCCAGTTCTGAGCACCCAGCTCTCCTAAGTGTGGGAGGTGGAGCCACCACTGTCTCCTGGAAAGCTCAGTGGTGCAGAGCGAAACAGGGCTCCTACTTGCCGGGAGTTGATGAGGTTTAGCGCCTTCAGGGAGTGCGTGAGCCAGAGGTCTGTCAGCGCCTCCAGCTCCGCTCGGAGCTGTAGCCAGGTCTCTCTTTTGGGAGCCCCTATCAAGCCTGTGGAGAAAGGAAATAGAGGTGTCGTGGTTATATTAAAAATGGTAGAGGGACAGAGTTGGGGAAGGGGAGTGAGCTACTGTACCCGGAAGACTCAATCAGATGGCACCCAGCGCCAACTTCAACCCAGCAGCCCCCCAACCTCTCCTGGAATCACCTGATGGGTTGATGAATCCATCCACTGACTGACACTTCCACCCTCCATGGGGCCATCCATCCACCCATTTATCTACTCAGCCATCCATTCACCATCCATCCATCATCCATCCATCATCCATCCATCCACTCATCCATCTACCACTCATCCATCTACCACTCATCCATCCATCATCCATCATCTATCCATCCATCCACTCATCCATCTACCACTCATCCATCCATCATCCATCATCCATCCATCCATCCACTCATCCATCCTTCCATCTACTTATCCATCCATTCATCCATCCATCCACTTACCCATCCATCCATCTACTTATCTATCCATCCATCCATCCACTTACCCATCCATCCATCCATCCACTGGGCAGGGCTGTATGTGCAGGGACAATGACCTTGCTGTGACACAATGCTGCCCTGAGCCTGTGCTGTCTGCCATCGCCTTCTCCACTGGGTGACCCACCACCCCACAAGGCCCAGCAGGATCTAGACACTCTCCTCCCATCCCCCACCTCGAGCCCCTCCAGCTGCCCCCTCCTCTTTATCTTCCTGAAAAGCAGAAAAATAGTTGTTCGCAGGGATTTTTCATTTGCTGTTTGTGGAGGAAACGCAGTGACTGGCCTCCCCCAATCCATCCTTCTTTTTAGTAAATATTAAAAATTTTAAAAATCTTCATTTGTAATAAAACCCTTGGTTTTTAAGGGGCTGGTGCTCTCTGGGCTCAGCTGGGTGTGCTCATGTGACGGAAGTCTTGGCAGGTGAGCAGTGGAGGTGCTGGGTGGCTTCTTGGAATTGTCTTTAAAGAGAGGACAATGTCAGGCACAGGCTCCAAGTCCGCCCTCGGCCTTGGGATGCGGCTCCCCGAGTGCCTCCTGTCCAGCCTGTGTCCTGCAGTCACCCCCTCTGAACACCCCCCGCTCGGCTCCCTAGGGTCTGTGCTGGCCTCTGGCTGGAGGCCGCGGTCCTGCCCCTGGCTCGTTCTCTGGTGCTGAAGTAGCTGGCGGGGCGGGGCTGACTCCTGCCAGCGGTGGTGCCCTGTTGACACTGGGGTACCTCGCCCCAGCTTGGGGAGAACAGAGCAGACCAACGAAGCCCAGGGCATTTCCCGGGCCTCGATGTGGTGGGGGAGCAGAGGGCTGTGTCCCTACCCAAGCACATGGCCCCTCCTGTCGAAGGCCCCGMAGCTAGGACGGTCAGCATGGGCAGAGACGGGTCCTGTCCGGGAAGAAAACCGACTCTCCTGGTTCTGGGAATGGAGGGCCCAGGACATGGCAGGCCCGCCCCTGCCATCTTAGACCCTTGTTCACCTCCGGTGCCAGGCCATCTGGAGACCCCAAGGCCTCCTGGGGTTCTCCCGTTGAGAACCACTGGCCTGGACAATCCTGGAACTGCTGACCCAGGACCTGGCCACTGCCCACCAACCCGCCTCCAGCCCCCTTCAGGCGCCTCCTTCAGGTGGCCAGGAAAGGCTGCATGTGACAACCCGGGGACCCTGAGCCTCAGGCGGCTGCAGCCAGACCCAGAGAATCAGCCGACCCCGAGAATCTGCTGCGGACATTCTTGAGGGAGGGGAGATGGGGAAACTTGTTTGGGAACCAGTGGCTCCTGGTGCCCCATTGTCACGGAGGGAACCCTATTAAAGACGCAGATTCTGAGTTAGTGGCCTGGGACGGGGCCTGGGGTTGTACATCTCTGTCCAGCTCTGCGCTGCTCTGGACCCAGCCCTGGCCCTCAGGCCGCAGGGCCCCAGCGTGGCCTGGACGCCTGCTGGGCACAGACCCCGGCCCAGCTCTAGAGTTGGATCAGCAGGTGTGAGGGGCCGCAGACCCTGCATTTCTCACGAGTCCTCAGGTGGAGGCCGCTGGTGAGGTCAGGGGGAGGAGACCGCCGTGTGGGGGAGTGGGCTCCCGGAGGCCGCCTGAGCAGCAGGGATTTGCTGAGAAACTTGGGGAAGGTTTATTTTAAAATCGGGACAAACGTGACCTGGAGTCCGCAGCCTTTCCAGGAAGGGACAATGCCCGGCCAGTCCTGGGGTCCCTCCCGCCCCCAAGCTTACTTCACTTGGTAAGTTCCTGCAGCTGCCTTTCCCCCCTGACTCCGCGAGTCTCATTCTTTGAATCCATGAGACAAAAACCCAGGTGTCGCGGCCCTGGGGAGCACCTTGGCGAGCCTCAGGTCCAGCTAGGGGCACTCGGCTGCGCCCAGCTCATGCCCTGGGGGCCCAGTGCTCAGGGACAGGAGGTGCCCTCTGTCCCGGGCTTCCTCCCCCTCATCGTCAGGGAATCAAATGCCACCGGCTGGTCCTGGGGGCTGTCGCTGCTCCCCCACTGCCCGGTCCGTCCTGTGGAAGTCCCGCACTCACCGCCCACGTTGTCCCGGTAGGTGTTGTACATCTCCTTCACCCGCCGGTAGCGGAAGGCCAGCTTCCTCATCCAGTCCACGCCGCCGTGCACCCCGGTGCCCAGGCACAGGCCGGCCCCCGGGGCTGCGCTGTGGAAGCCGTCGGTGGAGAAGTTGTAGGTGCTGGGGCGACAGGTGAGGGCACAGCGGGATCAGTGTCCTTGCACTGGGAGACGCAGGGCCTGAGGACCCACGGGTGGCTCTGGGGTACCCGTGCGCCCCTGGATGAGCTCAGGGTGCCCCGAGAAGGCCTGGTCTCCTGCTCCTGTCTAAGCAGCCCCCACCCCTTTCTTCTGGATCAACAGAGCCTCTGGCTTCTTGGGGACACCATGGCTGCCCCCGCAGGCAGTGGCCACCCCAGGAAAGCCTCCGTCCTCTCCCTTTGGAATTCTGAGCTCCAAGGGAATTCTACAATAAACGGCTGGGATCGGCTCATCCTGACGGAAGAGTCCAGTTAATGCCCACCACGGCGGTCCCCAAGTCCCCACCTCTCCTCCCTCCCGGTCTCCCCACAGCCCTTCTCCCGTCTTTTGTCGAAGGAGGCGCACTCCGCTGCCCGCTCCCTGGTTGGCAGATAGGAACCTCGACCCCAGAGAAGCATGTGAGGCTGACTCTCTGTGTGGCCGGGAAACTTCAGAAGTGACACAAAAATGGCATTTCCAAAGGTCAAGGAAACACGTCCCACTCACAAAGGGGGCGGCTGCCATCCTCTGGGACCGCGCTGGGCACTTTTCCAGCTCATTCTCTATCCGCTGAGGAAGGGGCAGGACTGCTAGCCATCACAGCCCCTGAGTCCAGACCCACCTCCTGACCACCCTGCCGCCTCCCTGTCCAGCCAGGCTCCCATCCGGCCAGGACTTATTCTTAAAGAACTAACACTGACTATTAATTAGGAGGATGCCCTGAGGAGATGTCTAGAGACAGAGGCCCCTTAAGGAGGGTGGGGTGGGGTGCCCAGGGGGACCGAGGGGTCAGTAAGAGAGGGCTCTGGAGCTGGGCTGCTCAGGTTTGGATCCTGCCTTTCACCAGCTGTGTGAGCTTGGGCAGGTGTCTTGATCTCTCTGTGCCTCAAGTTCCTCAACTATGACAGGGGTTGTCAGGAGAGACTCTTAGGGCTGCCTCAAAGATGCCAGGGGTTAACCCACAGGAAGCATTGAAAGCAGGGCAGGTGCTCAACAAGGGCCCTGGGGTTGAGTCTCACTGCCAACCGAACCCCTGTACCCACCAAAAAAGAGACATTTGATGCTTGGTGCTGAGCCTATCGTAGGCTCAATATAGTGACTATTTCCTGAATGACTACATGGGGAACTTGACTTGGGAAACACCCTCGGACGGTGGATTCCTGGCAGGAGGTACCAGACAGCGCAGCCCGAGGCAGGCCCCAGCAGCTGCAGGGGAAGCACTGACCCCGGACCCCGGTGTCCCGCTGCCTTGAGAGGGAGCCTGGCTCCCGGAGGCGACTTCACGGAAATGACCATTAACTCTGATCTGGCCTTATTCACACCAGGAATCGGGCCGCGGGATGGCGCTGCTCCTCACCAGCCTGGGGACTGATCAGATCACTTCTGATTGTGCTGGGCTTTGGAGAGACTGGCAGAGGCCCGGCAGGGACTCCGTTCTGGTCCAGGCGTGGGTGGGGAGACGCCCAGCCCGTCACCTGAACCTGCTCCCGGTACCCCCGGCGGACTTGGAGGTGCCGAGCTGTGATGATTGGCCTTGGCACCGAGGACCTGTGGTTCTGTTTTGGTCACGTCTCCCAGGGGCGGGCTCAGGACATTTCGATCTCACTCCTCTGAAAGCTGCCTCRTTTTAACCAGGCAGCCGGTCACCGGATTCCCAGAAACCGTCTTAGGAGTGTTCCCCTGAAAACCGGGCTCGCCCCTTACCCGCTCAGGAAGTGTTTCTTGAGTATTGACTGAATCAATTATTTCTGTATTAAAAATACATGCCGGCTAACGAATGTCATGAAGTCTCCAAGGGACGTGGATCAAACTCTGGATGGCAATGATCTGGGGGGGGGGTGAGTTTTTACGGCATGCACCCACAACTCCAGTAAACTGGGACGGAGAGTGAGCGACGGACGCAGCAGAGCCCGAGGTCAGAGGTGACAGAGAGGCTGCAGAGGGGGGCGGGGTTGTGCTTTGAGTTCAGAGGGGCTCGGGGTCCAGATCTGGCTAGTGACGGGTGCCTCTGGTGCACGTGACTAGCCCTCCCCTGCTGAGAATCAAATGATAGACATTTCTGACTCCCCAGATTCCCACCTTAAATCTTGCCCGTTGTCATCCGATGAGACGTCATCAACGTGGATCTGGTCACAATCCTACGGAGAATTTGGAGAAAGAAGAAACAGGCCTGGTGAATGTGGTGGCGGCTTGCAGAGCCGGCTCCGCGAGCCACGGGGGCGGGAGAGCGGGGCCGGGAGCCAGCGCTGGGGTCCGAGGCTGGGCTTTGCCACTGGGGGTCAGAGGTGCTCCTGTGGGGTCTCCTCCCTCTTCCTCTCTGGTTTCCTATTAGGCAGCTGGTTGGCCCTGAGGGAGTTCGAGCAGAAAATTTACCTCCCAAATTGGGACAGTTTTGCAAGGAAGAGGGGGCTGCAGGTGATGCCTGTGACACTGGGGGCTGTAGGTGCAAACCTGGCCTCCTCAGCCTCCCAGCCTCCAGGAAAAATGGCAGCCCTGGGCCTGAGGTGGAGGCCTGTACCTCACTGTCCCCTCTGCTTGGATGTCTCCTGCCTTTGCCCCCAAGAACCCCGCGTTCTCCCAGTGTTCGCTCCTGGAGGCCACCCTCTGGGTCCCAAAGTCTGTGACCATCACCGACTGGACACTGTGTCCCAGGCCTGCTGTTTCCACCCCCCACGGGCCCCGCGGCCTCCTGTCTTCCCTTAGTCCTCTTCACGCGCTCAGTGGCCACCTGTGCCCAGGGAGTTCTGTACTGGATTCTGCACACATTGCCTCCATCAAAGAAAACTCTGCGGACAGCGCAGCTCTAGAGGGACACAGGCGGACTCTCGGCTGGCGGGAAGTTCGGTCGGGAGGAGCGGAGACCTCGTCATTTAGCCTGCCCTGGGTTGCAAAACGTGTTTTTGGAATGAGGGGCAACAGGTCAGCTCGGGGGAGCTCTGTCTGTCCAGCTCTCTCCCACGTCCTGTCTCCGCGCTGTCCTTTGGAGCTGAGCTGTGGGGTGTCTACTGGCAGGTCCCCACAGTCTCTGCTGGGCTGGCTTCACCTGTTACCTGCCCCTGGGCATCTGACTGGAGACCTCTGACTCACAGCCTTCGTGGAGCTGGAAGGACCTCGGGCCCAGCAGGCCCCACGTGCTGGCGAGTTTGCGTTTCAGAGGACGCTGACTCCAAGACAGGCCGCGGAGCACACACGGCCTGCAGCACGTTCCCGGTGCATGGGAAAGCACCTCCCGTCCTCCCGGCCCCACAGCCCCTCAGGGGTGGCATGGCTGGCCCAGGCTGGGTTCCAGGGCTTTCCTTGATGTCAGGGGGAAGGCATTTGGGGAGGCTCTGCTTTTCTCATCTGCAAGGGGATGGTTGGGGGCGCTAAAGTGCGACAACAGTAGCGATCACATTTCGGGCTTCATAAAATACCATGACGCTCCGCTAGACACTACCTCATACCGCACCAGCTGACCCGGATCGGGTTACCCCCCCAGCCAGAAACCGGGGGCCTGGACGGTGCAAGGACGGGAGGCCCCTGGGGATTTGGGGGAGGAGAATCGATGCCCCTAGCTCTGCCGTCCCTTCCCCAGGCACGTGGAGAGGTCCCTGACACCCACGAGGATCAGGGCACTTCTGCTCTCTCCTGGTCAAAGTGTGACCCACCTGTAGAGACAGACAGAGGGTTCCCGTGGCCTTGGCACGGTAGCGTGTGGTGACACGGTAGCGTGTGGTGACACGGTGCTGAGGACCTGCGGCAGTGCAGTCTCCGCCTCAGGAATCTCTACGTTTTTTTTTTTTTTTGAGACGGGGCTGGCTCCCTGAGTTGTGGAGGCTGGTCTTGAACTGAGGATCCTCCCACCCACTTTCCTCCCAAGTAGCTGGGATTACAGGGCCACGGCACTCAGCTCGGAATGTCACTCTCTGACCCAGAAAAACACCTGCAAGGGCTTGTGAAAGGCTGTCCATCCACCCAGTGAGAAGAGGGGTCAGAGCGTGGCTCAGTAAAGTGTGGCCTCTCCGTGTGCCGACGCCTGCCCAGCAGCTCAGGAGAAGGAAGTGAACTGGGCGCCGTGGCCCACACCTGTGATCCCAGCGGCTCTGGAGGCTGAGGCAGGAGGATGGCGAGTTCAAAGCCAGCCTCAGCCATGGCGAGGCGCTAAGCGACTCAGTGAGACCCTGTCTCTAAATGAAATATGAAATAGGGCTGGGGGTGGGTCGGTGGTGGAGTGCCCCTGAGTTCAATCCCTGGCACCCCCTCCCTCCCCAAAAAGAACGGAGTAGACCTTGATGTGAACACACAGGGTGTTTCCGAGACAGCTGACAGAGTGAGAAAAGGCAGAGTGAGACATGGAGCTGGGCTCGGCGTTCACATCTGTGACCCCAGCTCCTTGGAAAGGAGGAGGCGGGGGATGGCAAGTTCCAGGCCGGCCGGAGCAACCTGGCAAGAGCCTGTCTCAAAAATCAACCAGTCAATAAAAGGAGCTGGGGATGGGGCTCAGTGGCAGAGCTCCCCTGGGTTCAAACCCCAGCACAGAAAAAGAAAAAGCGATGCCTTCAGCATATCGTGTGGGTACAAGAACATATTAAAACACCGTCTACTGCACATGGATCTCTACAGACAGTGAATGAGTGGGAAGAGAAGGGTCTAGGACCCTCACCCCAGCCTGGAAGCCGCACTCCACATGGGCAGCAGCGGGGACAGCTCTGAAGGAGAGCTCCGCTGTGAGGACACTCTCCACTTTCATCTTCTTTAAGAAACGAGAAGAACATGTGCTTGGACGGCTCTTGAGAAATGGATTMAAATGCCCAGGCAGGAGGGGGGTCTCCCGTGGGGAGGAGCTGACAGGAGAGAGGCACCGGGCCACCCGCCCTGCAGAGAGGGGGCAGAGGGAGGGGACGGTGTCTGTCCCCCAGACGCTCAAGGCCCAGCCCCACCGTCTGTGACCTTATTTGGACACAGGATCTTTGGAGGTCACTGAAGATGAGGCCCGGGTGGGGGGCTCTAGCCCACGTGACAGCGTCCCTATAGAGGAAGAGTGCCATGGGAGGTGAGGAGTGACACGCGGGTGACAGCTCTCCCAGCCAGGGGCCGCRGCCGACCAGCGGGAGGAGGAGGGGATCTTCCCCTTGGGCGGACCCCCTTGACCTTGGACTTCTGGTCTCCCGTTCCTGTGGCTCACGCCACCTGGTCCGGGGCACTTGGTGACACAGGCCTGACACGGAGCCCAGGGTGCCGTGGGCGGAGCAGCCGGGTCTGAACGCAGGGGCCTCTGCTGTGTCCCCAGAGACGCGTCCACCCGGAGAGGAGAAGGCACGCGGCCCTGTGCCCCACGTGCACGGCCATCACCCATCCTGGGCCACTGCGGCCTCCTGGCCTTCCCTCGCCGTCCTCCACAGGCCGGCCAGCAGCCCCTGGCCCTCCCTTCAGCCCGCACCACGACGGCCATGCCCCCTCCCCACAGCCCTCACAGGGTCCAGCTGCTGCCACCCCCACCTGGCCCCAAGGTGGCCTTTGGCCGTGGGTGGACGCGCGGTTTACTGGAACAGGCTGGGTCCTCAAGTTCGCGCCCCAGCGGCTTTCGCCGTGTGATGCCATGAGACGGCGGCACAGCCCGCAGGGCCTGGAGCACGGGCCATCGGGCCCTTCACAGAGCAGCTTGTCCCCGCTGGCTGAGACCACTGCAGTCCCCTCCTCCTCTCCCTGCTCCTGCCCTGCCCCCCTACTCCCCCACCCCATCTCCGTCCAGCAGCCAGGTGGGCCCTGCTGAACCCTAAGTCAGATCATGCCCCTCTCCTGCTCCAAGCCCCACAGTGGTTCACCTCCCTCCAAGTACAAGTGTCACTGTCATAGCCATGGCAGGGAGCCTGCCCCACCTGCTGCACAGCCTCATGCTGGCTGCCACTTTGACCTCATCTCCTGCACCCCTCTCCTAGCCTCCTGCTAGTCTTTCAACAGATGGCACATCCTGCCACAGGGCCTTTGCACTCACTGTTCCTCTGCCTTGAATGCCTTTCCCATCTTTTCCCATCTGTCAAAAGCCTGCCAAAGGCTTTGTTTTTCTTCTCCTTCTCCTTCTCCTCCTCCTCCTCCTCCTCTTTCTCCTTCTTCTTCTGTAAAAAATCCCCCAACACTGGGGTGGGGATACAGCTCACTTGTTAGAGTGTTTGCCTTGCATATACAAGGCCCTGGGTTCAATCCTCAGCATAGAAAAAAAAATCGTCCCCCAACCCTCTCCCAGGTCATCTGGGTGACTTCAGATTTCCCTCTTTACTGTGTGGGCCTCTAGGGCTAACTTGGGCCTAGTACAATGACCATTTTCTTCTTTCATCTACTAACTCAGAAAAGTCCACAGATGCTGCCTATTTTTTTAAATCAGTTTTTGCAAGGTGGACAATAGGGCAGATAAAGGCACAGATTCTGGGGCCTGGATTCAAATTCTGGCTCTGCCACTTACTGACTGTGTAACCTTGGCTTCCCCAGGGTGGCTGAGCTATGGACATACCTACCCTGCAGGGGACATAAGGACTCAGTGAGTGGACACAGGCGAAGCCACTGAAAAGCAGAAGTGTTGCTCTTACTGCCGTTTTGAGTTGGATAGGTCCAAGCTCTGCCTGGCACAGAGTTCCAGGAGAGTCACAAACAGCAGACGCGGAGGGGTCAGGATGCTGCCGATGCACCTGGGGTCAAGTTCACGCCCCCAGGGTGTTAGGGTGGCGTTTGAATGCCGTCCCTGGGCTCCACATTGTTGGGTGTGGATCTAGAGGAAGTCACTTACACCTTTGAGTCTTCAGATCTTTAGATCATTGAATAGGTGTAGACCTACAGAAAAGTCGCAAAGAGCAAAGACCCCAGGAGAGCTCTCAGGCCCTCTTTGCTACGTCATCGTCATCGTTGGCTCCTGTTAGCCCTGGGGTCGGATTCCCAGAGCTGTCCCGCAGTGTCTCCGTTCTGTTCCAGGGTCCCATGGGGAGGGGAGGGCACGTGGGGTGGGTGTCAGGGCTCCCTGGGCCCCTCTGGGCTGCGGCAGATTCCGACTTTCCTTGCTCCTGAGGAGTGTCAGGGAGCGTCTCTCAGCTGGGATCTCTGTGCGGTTCTTCCTGTGGCCTGGGTCAGGGGCCTGGGTGGGGGTCAGCGAAGGGAAGCGCCCCCCATA